TCACTTAACTTTATTGCGTGTAACCGTTTATCGAAAAAAAGACTCTTAAAAATCAAATCGGGTGGATATGTCCAAGCTAGGAAAACATTAAAAATTACCCGTAAATTTTGTGTAATGTACGTAATTTTTTATCATGTAATTAATTTGTTACGTACGTATAAGCAGAATATATTAATACCCGTCCAAATTTTTCATAACAAAGCAAATAATTACGTATTAATCGCTACGTATTAAAAACTTACAGGGGGCTAAATTAAGGATTCTCTGCACTGTAGTACGTATGACAAACATTTTTTAGTATATAATTCATAAGAACTTTTAGCAATAAACTTAGAATTAAGTATATAATATAATGGAAGTTTTTTTAATATGATTGTATTTTTTAATATGAAATGTGTAACAAAGTATTATAAAACAAAAAAATTCAATTACTTAAAATTTTACCAGTTACCTTCTAAATCATTCCAACTTACTCTATTTCAGTTATTTTTAATGCATAAAATATCATTGATTCTCAAGAACCTTCTTATATATCATAATGATAATAGTTCAGATTCATCAGAAAAACATTCAATTGTGCAAGAATATTTTTTAGAATGAGTGGTACACGTATAAATCAACAATAAATCTCGAGAAACTATTTAATGTCAGACAAATAAAAGCCTACATCACTTACGTTTATTTGATTTAATAATTGTCATGGCTAATACTAATCTTGGCTGATGCTGATTTTTGGACCTATTTTATTATAAAATTTTAAAATTTTTTAGGACCTTTTTAGTAAGATTTTTTTTTTAGTGTTAGGTTAGGATTCAGAGTTAGGATTGTTAATAAAAGAGTATCGGCATAGCAGGTTTAATAGATTCAAATTACGACCCCAAAAGTCAGCATTAGCATTCAATTTCCTTGTATAACCAATAAAAATAAATATAAAAGTTTTATACCGTTTTTGCCTTAATTCAAACCTAACTACTATAGTAATTTAGATTAAATCTTTATTTTACAATGTCAAAATCGTCAGAATCGTCAAAATATTTTGCTTGGAAAGTCAGGAATAGAAAGAATCAACAAAATCTTAAAAAGTTCACAATATAACCACTATCTGAGAACCAAAGTAATTTAAATATAGAAAGAAGTATATATCTTTTCTCAAAAATGGAATGCATATGAAGAAGTGTCATTATTAAATGAAGGATCATATTTTTGTAAAGTACTGACTCCTTTGTTAAATATCGTAACGAAGAGCATGCCAGTAAGTGCTTGATACATGGGGAATGTGGTAAGATAAATTTAAATTTATTCCCTATTAGATTGATACCTGGAAGTATGTCAATGTATTATTTTTTTTTCTAAAATAGATATAAGTGCACGCCGTGTAGACTATGTATACAGATAGTCACAACGTTAAAAGGAGAAGGTCTGAAATCGGATTAAAATAGAATGCTATCTTGAAACCGGTCGCCCCAATTCTACTATAGTCAAGCAACGTAGAAATCATAATAAGTTGGCAAGATATTCTAAAGATTTCATTGATGCTTATTTTAAAAGAAGAGAATTTTTAAAAGGTCATTATTAATTATTTTCACATTTTCACAATAAATATGTTAAAATTTCGTTGTATGCATGTGTCAAAATGACCCACAGACCAGTAAAACTTATTAGTGAAAAAAAGGGACCAAGAACTATCAACTTGATTAGAAAAATTTACTAATTAATTGGGTACTTAAAATATTCTAAGTAAAAATATAATAAGCTCTTTTTTTTTTGAATAGTAATCTTACAAATCAAATATTTAAACGCAAGTTTAGAATTTTCATATTTTATTTAGTGTTTAGATTTTACATAAGAGTCATAATTTTAGACCTTCAATAAGTATTATGTTATCTGATTGAGCAAATATACATTTTCGTCCGTCGCATTAACAAATTAATTTATAATTCTAAATATTTACATACGATAATGATTTATATCTATAATCACTAGCTAGATCACGAATATCAAACGTGTTTTTTTTTGCATAGTAACGATCTTTTGCGCATTCCTAAATAGCGTATTTGCTGGATCATTATAAAACTTTAATACAAAAATTAAAGTCTTCATGCTTAATAAAGGTTTTACATCATCTATGAACCAATTTGATATTATGATATTTGAAAAGCAAATTATCTTAAAATCAGTTATCAGATATGGAATAATAATAAATCGAGATAAAAAAAAAAATTATAAATTCTAATTTACTTTTATCACATTACCAGTAATTAAAAATATAGAATTTATTGATTATTATATAAATTTATGTTAACAGTCTTGCCTATTTTGGTCCAGTTCAGTCTAGTTTTTAATAGATTATATAGTCTTTTAATTAACTCGTCTTTAAAATAGGATTTAGAATTTACCAGAATTTTATTATGCTTTTTTAACTGGTCTGGTCTTAAGATTAAGAGCAGGCTAATTTTTTTACTTCTGAACTGGTCTTAAAACTATTAGTTTAAACCAGATCACATACACTACAGTATAAAAATTTCTTTATTGTAATCAAGACAAAAACTTATCTTGATTATGGCATCTTATTTTATTGTTATTACATATTATTTATACAACTAAGATTAAGATCAAACTATATAATCCTCAATCTTTAATAAATTTGTTATTAATTCTACGTTGATTTTTTTTTTTATATTAAACGAACGACCATCAGATGAAATTCGATGAAAATTTTTTTATTTAATTTTGTATATTCGTAGAATCAAAATAAAAAAAATTTCAAAAAACGTTTATCAAATCGTTTATCTTGACAACCACCTAATAAATTCGATTAAATTTTTTATTTAATTCTACAAATATTTAAAATTAAATTTTCAGCGAATTTCATTAACGTTAAGTGACTGTCAATATTCAAAACGCTTATCAAATTAGAAGCTATTTCAGGTTTTTCAAAATTTTTAAAGAAGATATCTAGATAACCACCTAATGAAATTCGATGAAATTTTTTTTATTTTAATTCTACATATTGTAGAATCAAAATAAAATAAAAAAACCATCGAATTTCATTAGGTGGTTGTCTAAATATCTTTGTTTAAATATTTTGAAAAAACTGAAGTAGCTTCTAATTTGATAAGCGTTTTGAATATTGACATAACTTTGAGGATACTGTTACTATTGTTTTTGGAAGAGCGTTATACAAATAGTGCCGGGTTTAGCTCCAATAGTGAACTTGGTCGGTAATATGACTGGATTATATAGAGTATCGGTGGTTTTATGCTAATTACGCTCACGTGTTATAATGGAATTTAATTATATCGAAATTTCGATTAAATGATTAATGCTGATATTTTAATAGGGGTTTCAATGATCTTTAATTTATTCGGGGTTCAAGGGTGATTTGTATTAATTAATTAATAAGGCACAGCGAAAAGTTTATTAATAAAGGATAATTTTTTAATACGGTAACTAAAATAATAAAAATAAAAATAACTATTCAAAGAAATTCATAACCACTTTGAGAATTCGATTCCAATATCAAACTTATATTCAAGTCTGAGGAATTTTATTAAAGTCAAAAAGAGCCCTTTAAATACATTATTCTTTTACCTAATAACTACTGCGTTCTACCCTACAACTCTGATCTCAGTATTGTTCTCAATTCCTCCTACAATCCTTTATCTCCCATCTTATACGGATGGTATACAATCTTATCATAATTTTGCTAACACTATTGCGATGGATTGTCCATCGTACAACCCATCTCTCAATTCAACCTCCTAATTTACCACCCAATATAGAAATTAAATAAAAAATGGGATTATCGTGACCCAGGAAATATGTCACGAGGGAACCCGTATCAATACCTCAACAACCACCTATTGAAATTCATTGACAATTTTTTTTATTACGATTCTGCGAATATGTAGAATTGAAATAAAAAATTTCATCGAATTTCATCAACGAGATACCTTCGTTTAAAACTTTGATGTACAGTACACACTGTACAAATAAACTTTATTACCGGTAGCATACATCTACATATTAGTGGATTTGTGGAATTTGATAACATATGGGCGAAAATTTCAGCTGGGTTATTTTAGCTAACTACTCACACCATATTTTATATCTTATTGACTTAGGTTCTATTTAATCTCATCGTTAAAATTAATCACATATGAATAGAAAAAAAAAACCGTAGCTCTGGTCAAATTTGCAGATCATTTGGCCAGCTTTGAAGTCAAACAACTTCAAACCTGGCCAAATGATCTGCAAATTTTGACCAGAGTTTTATCAAATCCACTGTAAAATTTGATCAGGGGTTGAGTCCAGTAATAAATCAGGGTTGCAAGTTACCATAAATTACTAGTGAAATGACTCGATACTTGTCCACCATTTCGAAATTTTTCGATAATGGCAGAAAGTTGACAGGTTACCAATCTACCAATCGATTTTGCTCCGTTTCAATTGGCGTCACTCATATCGATATGTTGAATCATGAAAAAAATAGACAAATTTGTATTTTATATCAATGTAAAAATGTACTATATTTTTTATATACAAATTAAAATGTGTAAACTATTTATTCCTGACAATCAGTCATTTACTATTAATGTACATTGATTCAAGAAAAAAAAAAAAAAAAGGTCAGAATAACCGTTACAACATTACCAATTTCATTTCCTCAGTAAACAAAGCAATTTTGGTTATTTTTTCCATTTTTCATAATTTACTGGCTCTTTGTTACGAAGTTGAGAGAAAATTGACTAATAAGCAAGTTCAGTAAAGATTAATTCAAGTACTGTATTAAGTATAAGAAAATTTGAAGTCATAAATATGAATTCTAACCTTCGTGATCATGGTTATTTGTTCATGTGAGTCATGAGTAATATCTGCCATTTTAGAATATCTAATTATTTCACGGATCAAGTTATCCAATATTGGTACTGATACTAATATTAAATTATTCATATTAGTAAATATTTAATAATCAGCATAAATTTATAATCAAACCGTCATCAATTACATGGTACATGTGACCCACTCAAAAACGGATCAGCTAATAACTCTGGAATTGTGACTCGATCTTTAGGGTTTCTTTTCAAACAACTTTTCATAATTCTCAACAAATTGGCGTCGACTGGAGCATATTGACTAGTATTATTTTCTTGATTAGCTAAATGTGCTCGATTAAAATTATGTATCAGACTGGAGGTTGGAGGAAACTCAATAGGAAAGTCTGGATCAGGAATACTCTTAATTTTTTCAATCATAGTTAGATGAGAAAATGGAGTATGACCATAAACTAGTTGATAAAGGATGCAGCCTAAAGACCAAACATCGCTTGCACGTCCTAACTATATTACATAATTTACAATAAGATTATTATATAAGTGTATCCTTAGATAATTTCAAGAAAAAAGACATAAAGCTAACTTACTTTCAATAATTTTCCTCCTGTATTATTGACTTTATTGACATTATTATTATTACCCTGAATAGATTCAGGTGACATATAATTTATCGTTCCAACCTAAAAACATTAAAAATAAAAAACTTGATCAAAATAAATTAATTACGCCACATATGCACTAGTTATAAACCTGTTGCTCCCGGTGAATATTTGTAGTATCATTTGGTATAGTTCTTGCAATTCCAAAATCAATTAATTTTAGGGACCCATTAATAACAATAAAATTGGCTGGTTTCAAATCTGAATGAACAATGTTTTCTAATTGAATCGTATAAACAGCTTCAAGCATCTATATACCAAAATAAAAAATAGTATTACGTTTTATCTCAAACCTAAAAACAAGCGTTCTAATTAGTACCTGCTGCCAACATAATCGAATAAAATCTATCTTTATAGGCTTTCCGGTTTTACCATTAAGTAAATGAGCCAAGTCAATTTGTCCACATTCCATTAGCTAATAATCATATTATTATTGTTAACTTTTACCGTTAATTAATAAAACGATAAAAAAACAAATTAATAACTTGATTGAAATATACTTAACCATCAATATATGTTTTTTTTTCATAATCGATCTCATGGTCGTATAATTTTATTATACGAGTTCTTCCATATAGTTTTTCCAATAAATCAATTTCATTTATATATCCAGCAATAGTAGACTCTTCCACTTTATGAAATGAGACCTTTTTCAGGGCAAAAACTTGAGAATTCGAATCTTTGACCTTATACACTTTGCTACTACCACCACGACCGAGGTATTCGATACGCGTGTAGGTCTTACCATTGAGCTATCGATTTTTCAGTGATTAATATATATATATATATATATATAGTGATTTATGACAGTATAAAGATGGTGTTTTAAGTTTACTTACTAATATTTGATTGGTATTTATATTTTGAACCGGATTAGCATTTATTTGCTTTGATTCCGAAGATTGGAGTGAAGGTTCATTAACTACTGGAGATAATTCTTTTTTGACAATTTCCTGATTCGGCTGTTCCGTAATATTTGACACTTTGACTTCTTGCTCAAAATCTTCTGATGAATGTTGCTTGATTTTATTATTTGATTGATCTTCACATGTAATGTTTAATTTTTTCGGTTGTATATTTTCATTATCGTCATTTACTTTTGATGATGAAGAGAATTCTTTACTGTCATTTACTTTTAATGATGATGAGGATTCTTTACTGTCATTTATTTTTG